GAGGTGCTGCCGGGCGGGGAGAGGCTGCCTGAGAGGCGGGATGGAGCCGTGTGGACAGGAAAAGGAGGGCCCAGTATGAGGGGTATGTGGGGCACAGGCAGGTTGCCCGGCAGCCGATACCATCACAAGCCTTCCACCGGGGAGGGGAAATCCCGTCCAGGATCCTGAACCTCACTGGGTCCAGGCCCCTTTCCAGGCACTGTGCTCAATTGTGTCATCCTGTCCCGCCCCAGGATTTTTGGTGGGATCTGGGCCCTTTGGCGCAGTCGCGGTGGCCCTGGGTTCTAATCCTAACTCTGCCTCACCATCACAAGCCTTCCACCGGGGAGGGGAAATCCCGTCCAGGATCCTGAACCTCACTGGGTCCAGGCCCCTTTCCAGGCACTGTGCTCAATTGTGTCATCCTGTCCCGCCCCAGGATTTTTGGTGGGATCTGGGCCCTTTGGCGCAGTCGCGGTGGCCCTGGGTTCTAATCCTAACTCTGCCTCCGTCTTGCCGCGGGGCTTGGAGGCTGGCTCCCGGGGTGGGGGTAGGCACAGCCGGGCATGGCTGTCCAGGGCACCGTGCAGCGCTAGGGACTGACACGATCCTGTTTAAACGGCGGACCCTAGGATCTACGCCCGCTTTGCCTTTCCCAAATGGGAGGCGGCGCGCTTACCGGATGATGGTGTGCATGCCGCGCACTTGAGGGGTGTTCTTCAGCACGCTGAGGGTCCGAGGAAGGGGATGGCACTGGTGCGCAGAAGCCAGCGCTGCCCTGGAGACCAACCCAAAACCACAGCGAGGTGAGCGCTCGCTCCTGCACCTAAACACTCAACCCCCAGGGCTCACGGCAGCACCAAGAGCTGCAGCCCGGGCGAAGGACGGCACCTCAAGGCAACAAGGGGTTAACAACACTAATGAGCAGCCATGTCCAGAATCAGGGGAGCCTTCACATCCCACCGGCCCCCAAGACAGCTGGCAGGTGAAGGCTCCATCCAGCTTGGACCAGTGACTGTCGCGAAGCCAGGAGAGAGACAGCTTCTCCATCAAACAGGTCCCACTACTGCTGCTTGGAGCTCTCCTTTGCTTTCTTTGCTCTAAGGCCCTGGATGGATCCTTTGGTCAATGAATGAGGAAGGGACAGCTTTGGCTACCACCCAGGAGTGAAATACAGGTTGAACCTCTCTAATGGGGCACCCTCAGGACCTGACTGGTGCAGAACCACAGAATTTGCCGGACCACAGGAGGTCAATATTGTCTAGCAGCATCACCAACACTGCCACGGCTGACTGGGCTCCAAGAAGACACAGAGGGGTCAATTAGAGCTAATTAACAGCACAGAACACCGAGAGCCAGGACTGGTGGCTGTAAACAAACTTCATGGGACTGCGGGAAACTTGGCCACACCCATGATAAGTGGACAACTAAAATCATGCCGGATCACGGATGTTGCCGGATCACGGAAGTTGCCGGATCACGGAGGTTCAACCTGTATCTCAAGTCTGATCCCTCTCAAAACAAATATTTGCTGGTCCTGGACTTCATCAGAGACAGGGTCTTTGGTCAGGGCGTCATGGCTTTGATGAGATTAAGTTCACTTCTTAGGAAGGGGTTAGCATGAGTGTTCTGGTCCATTCAGGGACAGCTGCGTCATTCCCAAACTAGGAATAGGCTCAAGAGCCTTTGTAGCTGGACCGGGCTGGTGGCTGGAATGACTCATCTCTGGATGACAAATCAGTTAACGAGGCCTATTCCTGGATCAAGGCACTACCATTTATAATGGGTTCCCAAGAGCCCATCTCTCTCGGTTTGAAAGACGTCAACGGCTGGAACAGACCAACCACTCAGCCTTGCACGGGAGGAAGGCTGGACGCAGAGACAGCTCGGAGAGCCCACCCCAAAATGCTCGCAACTGGTTGGGGAATATATTGGAAGAAGGAAAGAAAAGAGAAAAGCACCAGCCAGGTAAAGGTTTAGTAGAGAACCACCCTGGTTAATTAAGGACACACACACAAGCAAGCCAGGGGGAGGAAGATGACGAGGCAGGCACCGAGGAAGGGGTAGATGGTGATCAGAAGCCTCTACCTGCCCAGTCATCCTCTCGCCGCGGCTGAACGAAAGCAAATCCAGACGCAGGCAAAGCCCGCCGAGCGTTTGAGGGGTTCGGCTTATTCCGCCAGCTCCCGTTCTGATGGTGAAAAGCCAGAGGGAGGCTTCCTTACGGGAGTAGGAGCATCATTTATGTTCCTACGTACTCCCCAGAGCAGGTGGAAATTTCCGTGGCAGGCGCCAAGCGGAGAAAGGGCATTTGAGAAAGAAAGCAAATCCAGACGCAGGCAAAGCCCGCCGAGCGTTTGAGGGGTTCGGCTTATTCCGCCAGCTCCCGTTCTGATGGTGAAAAGCCAGAGGGAGGCTTCCTTACGGGAGTAGGAGCATCATTTATGTTCCTACGTACTCCCCAGAGCAGGTGGAAATTTCCGTGGCAGGCGCCAAGCGGAGAAAGGGCATTTGAGAAATACTGTCAAGGGGTCTCCTGTGCTTTGAAATAAGACGAACCCCTCAAAGGCTCAAGGGTGAGCAGCGAGCAAAACAAGCTGCACTTGGTGAGTGAGGAAGGACCCCTCGTTAGTCTCCCTAGCCCCCCCCCCCTGGCACCGCTTTGCTAGCGCTCCTGCAGGCCCCCTCCTCCTGCCGCTGCTCCAGGCTTTGGCAGGGTGATCGGGGGAGGGGTGTGTGGGTGGGGGGGGGGTCACGTCCCAGCCTGCGCTCTTCATAAGGGCCTGATCCTGCACCCACTTTACATGCGAATGGCTACAGGATCAGGCCCACAAACAGGTTTGGCTTTGGCCCACACCGGCCTGAAAGAAGAAGTGTGTGTGTGTGTGCGTGTGGTTGGGGAGAGGGGGGAATTTAAAACAAAAGAAAAAAAAAAAGAATGTAAGAACAGCCAGACTGGGTCAGACCAAAGGTCCATCTCGCCCTGTGTCCTGTCTGCTGACCATGGCCAGTGCCAGGTGCCCCAGAGGGGTGAGCAGAGCAGGGAATCAACACGTGATCCCTCCCGTCACCCATTTCCAAACAAACAGAGGCCAGGGACACCATTCCTACCCATCCTGGCTAATAGCTATTGATGGACCTAACCTCCATGAATCTATCTAGCTCTTCTTTGAACTCTGTTAAAGTCCTACTCTTCACAACATCCTCTGGCGAGGAGTTCCACAGGTTGACAGTGCCCTGCATGAAGAACAACTTCCTTTTGTTTTAAACCTGCTACCTATTCATTTCCTTGGGTGACCCCTAGTTCTTGTGTTATGGGACCAAGTAAATAACTGTTTCTTATTCACTTCCTCCACACCTGTCATGATTTTATAGACCTCTATCATCTCCCCCCTTATAATCATAGTAGGTAGAGCCAACCTTCTGGGTCACAATACAAGAGTAATGGGGTGGGGGCATCTCCAGCATGCCCCTGTCCTGGGAGAGCAGTACTGTGGGGGCAGGGAAAACAGTGTCCTGCCTTTACACAGCCCCTGGATCCGAATGTGCTTCATAGCCTGACCCGAAACACAGGATCAATGCCCCCAAAGAGCTGTCGGGTGCTGGTGGGACTCTGCAACAGCAGAGAAGGGTGGAAGATCTAATTGCAGGGCACCTTCATAGATGGAAAGTTCCTAGAGGTGGGATTTGAACACGCCACTAGGAGAAGCGGCCCCGATACTTGAGGAAAGTGCCACGGGCCCTTCTGAGAACTGCCCCGGGGTCGGGACCTCAGCGTTACCCCTGTGCTGAAAGACCCGTGCTGGCAACGGCTGGCCAACCCGCTGGACATGAGCAAGCGGTACCTGCTCCTAGGCAGAGCAGCTCACTTTGCTGGGTAAGCCTGGCAGAGGGGTTGCCAAGACGCCTGCCGCTTACAGGGCCTTTTGCTCCCATGGGCCAGGGGGCTCAGGCGCTGTCCCCCGGGGCTGGCCTCAACTCCTCAACTGGGGCAGACTGGTTGGTGCCCACGCCGGAGGGCGCTTTTCTTAGTGATGTTGCTGACAGGGCCGAGTGTGGCCAGCACCCTGAGAAGCCACAAACTGAACAGCCCTGTGGTTTGCAAACCCCTCCGGTCATGGCTCTCTCGCCTTCCTCAGCCCTTGTAGCTGATCCAAGTCAGCGCAGCTCTCCTGCTTCCCTCCCCGCAACGTTCTCTGTGGTACATCGCTGTGCGCCACACCAGAGAGCATCGGCCCATGTCTTCTCCAGCACCTACACAAAATACCAAGACACGGGCCTCCGATGCCACAACGAGGCATAATGCAACCCGGAGCACCACTCCTACACCACCGAGCTGTGAACGGGCCCAGAGGAAGTGCTGCTATTTCAGGTTTCCATGGGTTCCTGAAAGGCTTGCACTTTGCTTTCCAGGCTGACACAGCAGAGGAACACCGGGGGCGGGGGCTACACCTCTCTGTGGACTGATGGACCAAAGATTAGTAGCTGTAGAGCCCATGTACCTCCTGCACTGGAGAATTCTTCAGATTCAGCAGAGGGGTAGGATGGTTCAGTGGTTAGAGCAGAACTCTAGGACGGGTGTGTATGTGTGAAAAATCCTTGCTCTGTCGCAGGCTTTCTACAAGACCATGGGATGGTCCAGTTGTTAGCGCAAAATCCTAGGATTTGGATGGAGAGAGGTGTGTGTGTGTGTGTATATATATATATATATATATAAGCCCTGCTCCGCCACAGGCTTTCTACAAAACCATAGGCACATCACTTAGCCTCTCTGTGCCTCAGGACTCCATCTGTACAATGGAGAGAACAGCACCGCCCTGTCTCACAGGGGTGTCCTGAAGATAAATTCATTAATGGCTATGAGGAGCCCAGATACTATGGTGATGGGCCCATATAGGCATCCAAGCCAGATCGCTCCATTCCCTAATTCTTGGGAGGATCGGCTCCGGGGATGAGGTACTGGAGAGTTTTCCCCTTTAGGTTTGCTGAAAGCCATGTAGGAATCTGCAGGTGCTTCCTCCCTGTGCGCCCCATGTTCAGCATGCAGCCCCGGCTAATCACCCATCACCCCGCAGCTCCCACGATTAGTATCAAAATCCAAACACCGCAAGCGCTCCTCACATATCCCAACGCAGCTTCCTCTGTTCACCCGATGAGAGGGACGTTCAGGGAGAGACAAAGCCGGAAATACAACAAAGGATTCAAAGGGGAGGGAGAAAAACAAACAAACAGGAGAAAGCACTTTAATTAGTCAAAGGATGGGGGAGGAGGGAGGCCATGATCAATATCAGCTCTAAACAGTAACAGGTGGGTTTGATCAACACCCGAGAGGTCCCTCGCAGTGGTGTTGCTTTCTGAACCTGTGTTTGCTTAAAGGAGCGTCCGAGACCTGCCTCCCTCTGCTGGGTGGTCTGTAAGGATATGTCTAGACTGCGGTGCTATTTTGGGATATGTCTGGTTTCCCAAAATAGCGTTTTTTCACGTCTTTACAGCATGCCCATTATTTAGAAATGCAATCGAAATAACGGGCGTGCTATTCCAACGTCCCGATAAACCTCGTTCCACGAGGATGAAGGGACATAAATTTCAAAATAGACTCTCTGGAAATAAGCTCAAAATACGCCCCGCGATTTGCGCAGTTCCAACGGTGTTGCTTATTTCGAGCTAGCGCCGCAGTGCAGATGCACCCTAAGGGTTCCACATTGCACGCCTGCTAACCTCGCGCTGGGGACAGCCTTATGTCCTCGTGCGTTCCCCGAAGTCCCAGGCCAGAGAAGC